GCCTGGCCGTCGCGCCGTGAACGTAGACCAAGGTCGAGATCAAGGTCAATCTGGCCCAAGCCGACGTTAGAGTCATGGAGCTGGCGGGTCGACAAGGTGAACCGTGGAGCCCCAAGTAATAAAGGCGGCTGGCTGGACCATGGAATGACTTGACTAGACCACATGACTGCGGGGCAAAGGAAAACGACGATCATTGTCAGGAAATCCGGGGGATCAGGGGATCAGGGGATCAAAGACGTGGATGATCATGCAGAAGATGCGTGCGTAGTGCTGTTCGAACGTAGGGGGTCGGCGGCCGACAAGGGCATCTTCGGAGGAAGACCTCAGTGATGCCGACAGGGAAGATGATGATCAGGGACGAGAAGGGTGCAAGCATACAGGCCAGGGTCAAGTGTGGTGGTGGTGAGGGTGAGGGTGAGGATGAGGGAAAAGATGACAGCGCTGGCCTCCCCCGCGACGAACGCGGTGCGATGGGTGGGATTTCAGATTTCATTGCCAGTGCAGGTGCAAGTGCAAGTGCAAGTGCAAGTGCAAGTGACAAGGAAGGGCACCTTCTTGCTGCGAGTCTGGTGAGCGACTGAATGGAAGTTGTGGAGGAGAAGAGTGGGTCCACTGTCCCGTAATGCGACAGCATCGACCGGGGTACGCGGGGATGGCAGGCACGACGACTCGGGATGGATGAAGAAGAGGAAAGTAGAGAGAGGCGCCCCTTCCTCAGAGAGATACCGGGGCACCTCAGGGCAAAGTGGGTTCCAGGCGGGACAGTAAAACAGAAACCGAAGAGGCGGGCACGTACCCCGAAGTACCGAAGCCATTTCATCTCATCTTTGCAACTCCATCCTGCTCGTCCAGTCAGCGGCCATCAGTCATCATCCCAGCACCCAGCTGCTTAAGCGGTGCGCACAGGTACAGGCACAGGCACAGGCACAGACAGGTACAGGTGCTGGCTCCTCCACCCCTCCCCCTCTACTCCACATTTTAACACTCGGTCGTCGTTCCCTATTGCCGAGTGGTCGGTCGGTCCATCATCTTTCCCTGCCGCAAGAGTACAGTAACTGCAACAGCAAGAGCAACCTCTGTGCTTGACTAGCTGCCTGCCGTCTGCCACCAGGCGTTGACTGTGGGGAAGGCAGCCCATACCCTGACCATGCTTGCCAGTCCGAGCGCCTATCAAATCAACCCCTGTCCCTTGCTGCCATAACACTTGCCCACCTTGCCCACCTACCATGTACCTGTGTACCCTCCTTTCATGTGCTTTGGGTCCGTCGAGTTTTTCCGTCGTGCCGCAAACGATCATGAAGCCACCCTTCACCAGCCTGGGTCAAGTGAGGGCGGTTGAAGGTCTGAGCCTGACCTCGAACCCCACCTCGACCACCTCAACGTCTTGTCCGTCCACATCCACCACACCACACACAATCGTGCAGCCAGCCTACTGCTCGGCGACCCGCCAGCTCACCCCGGCCGGCTTCTGTTTTCGCGCTCTCGTCGATCCCGTTACCCCATCGTCAATCGGCGAAGCGACTCACGATGCTTGTCAACCCGCCTTCCCTAGACCGCTCGCGATTGACAGGGGGGTTGATCATTCGACTCGCCGAGCCTTGTTTTCGGCCTCCTTCGCTTTGGAGGGCACGTTGGACGGAGCTCACAGCAACCTGAACCCACATGGGGTGGAATGGACAAGACTGTGGGAGACGGCGAAAGACGTGCGGTCAACAAGTGCCTGAAGTCTACCATCATCAGCCCACGACCTAAGACATGTGAGCGCCAGATGACTGGATGCGTCCCATGAAGCTTCTTCGAACGCTCAGAAGCCCCTGGCCATCTGTCTCGTCTCATCTCCATTCTGCCGGCCCGACCCTCGGTGACGAACAGCATATCGGTCCTTCGGTGTCATCAACATTGACGTCCAACTCCCGACCATGTTTCACCTTGATCTTACGAGAAGCTCAATCTTCTGTCACCATCTCGTCTCTGCGACCGGCTGCCAGCCGCCATGATAGGTATCCTCACTCCGGTTCAGTCACGGTACGGTAGTGTCGCTTGTCACAACCCGTGCCTTGATACATCGCCTGATATCGCATCCTCAGCGACACGTCGGGTCGCGGCCGAGACCACTCGCCACATGGAAACATAGCCTTCTCAGTGGAACCTCAAATCTCGCACCAGACGCCACATTCTGACCCACAACTCGCATCGGTCTGCCGTCTTGGTCTGTTCCCATCGGCCGAATGAGCAGCTTGACAACCTCGCCCGTTTCGCGAGGTGAAGCCGCCACGATGCACCTACCCACCTACACCAACATCCCTGAACCCGTAGGAGCCTTGGGGGCACGCGCTCTCCTGACTGAGCCCGCGCCGGCCGGTGACCACCTTGTTAGTCACATCCTTCACCATTCCTCCTCGCCTGGCCTTCATTCGTGCCTGGCGCCTCTGGCCGAATGAGCCGTACCCCAGCTTTTCCTCTGCCGCTGGAAGCCCACAGTTTTCTTTTGATCCCTCACACCAACACGTCTGCCCGTCAGCGCACCCACGGAGCCTGCCGCCCATCACCTCTGCCCAAGAGCGCCTTCGAGCTGCCTGTCCCTCTCTCTTGCTTGCGTACAACACGCCCGCCTGCGCCACGACGCTCTTTTCATGGTCTCTACACAGGAATGCATATCCTGCCAGACCTTACCCCGCATCCCGGCTCTTCAGCCAACGAGGCATGGGGGCCAGGGACACACACAGGCACACACACACCTCAACTTGGTACATCACGGCGTCCAGGCTAGGCATATGCAAGCCGCTCCAAGGACACGTCGGGCAAGTCAACAAAAGCCTTGCTGCTCTCGTGATACGTTCAACTTTCCTCAATACCGGAGAAAGCGGAAGAGACACAGGCAGGACCATCCGACCCACATAGTCTGTACCAGATTTGCTCCTGCTCTGGACGAACCTCGGACGAAATGCCTGACATAGCAAACAAGACCGCAAGTTCTTCGAGAAATTGGACAGCATGGGCCCGTCTCTTCTTCTTTTCACTCATGCGTCTGGTCAGGTGCAGCTGCTCTCAGCGCGACTCGTCGCTAATGCGTCCCGGCTATATGCACCTGCGTACCCCCGTGTTTACCAGCTTGTCTTCGGCGTTAGTATGCCGTGGTGCTAAGACATGGCCCGAAGCACACCAGGTAGGTACTGCCCAGTTGTGGCCCTCCTGCTAAAGACCCCTGTCCGTTGACCAGACCCAACTTCTGAACCGGCTGGCTGCCTCGACTTCCTCCAAATGAGACTTGCCGCCCTGCTGGGTTTCAATCATCGGTTCGGCTTCCGAGCACCATGCGATTCAGCCAAGCCTGTGCCTTAATTATCTCACAGCCTGGGCGAGCCGCAAACATAAGCGTCGTACGAGTCTGCCGGTACAGCCCGGTTCGAGACTTGCTTGTTGTCAGAATTGCATTCCTCGATACGACCCTGAGATATCGACCGCAGCAGGTAGTCGACGACGGACCGCTCTAAGCCTTGCCCTAAGCATCGACCTGCCAAGAACATCAGAGGCGCGAAGGGTCTCTGGTCTCTGGTCTCTGGTCTCTGGTCTCCTGCTACAGCTTCACACCAAGTCGGTGTGTTAGCCGCCTTTCGAGGGGTCGATCTTTCGCATCCTTGCCCGATTTCGGGACCCAAGGCGGTCTGGTGACAAGGACAAGGTATACGGGCATTCATCCAGACCACCTGTCCCGTGGCTCAAGCTGCGGAGAAGACTGACGGACTATCTGCATGGGGAAGCTGCTACTTGCCAAAGGTTTGGGGAAATGGAGCCACCTCCAACGGGTCAACGGGAGCTCTGGATGTCCGTACTGATTGCAGTGCTCGGCTGCCATCGCTTCGAGTGTCTCTCCACACGTGGCAAAGAAGGGGAGTGCTGGAGGCACAATCAGTCATGCTCCACACAACACAAACATTGCGAATCATCCGTCACCTCTGGCCACAACGGAGGAGGAGAATCTACGGACAAATCTTGTTTGTGCTACTGCTCGACGCGCATCGGCTGCGCTTTCCCTTTCATCTCTGCCTCGCCGGTCTCTTACTGTTAACACGTGCTCAAATTATGTATGGCCCAGTCTGGTACCGCTACCGGCACGGCACGGAACATTGCCTGCTGGGCTTGTCGAGCAATCTACAACAGTCGACGGGTTTCGGCTCCAGGCCACTCGTCCCGTTTGTCCTTTCAGGTCTCGGAAAACAATGTTGTCTGACGGGCACTCCAGGGTGGAAACTCTGAGAGCTTTGTCGAGACACCGCACTTCACTGAGTCATGCGGGCTCTGCCGGTTTACTGGTATATCGAGCATGAACACCATGATCATCCCTTCATTTTCCTCATGATATTGGCTCTGGCTCTTGCCTATCCCTTTCACTTTATGGTTTCATCGTTCGCCTACGTACTTAGATGTGGCAAAACCTCTGTTATGGGCCATGCAGGAGACCTGCAAATTCGACAGCTGACAAGTCTGCAGGCCTACTGCCAGACCATATGCGTCGTCCTGTCGCCTCTCCACACCCACCAGCAAACCATGCGGTCTGAGCCTCCATGAAATGCGACGCAGCCCGATCTCCACGGGGTTCTTCAGCGGCTACGCCAGAAAATGCCGCGACGCGCCTTTGACAGCGAGCTTCGGGAAGCCATCCGAAGCCTCGTCATTTCTTATAATGAACTTGGTCTGTCGACAGCCTCTCGTATGTTGAGCGCCGGTATTTGCCAAAGCTACACGACGCTATCACGCTGTTTCCTTGTGATACCGTCCGCTACGCCCGCCACAATGACGCACACAACTTCGGCATGGCCGCCAGCTGCTTGCAAATTTCCCTCAACCTGTCCGTTTCGTGATGATCCACTGAATTCAGGGGCTTGATGACAAGCTCGGAGATTGTTCCGGGAAGAACCCAAATGCAAAGGCGTTTCAACACAGCGCCTCACTGACGCCTCCCGTCATTCATCATGAGGCATCACTATGCTTTATCTGCCTGAACCCTTTGATGAACGGCCTGCCTGCTCAGCTTTCTAGCCTCTCAAACCAATGCTGCTGCTACCCGTTCCTCAGGTTTGAGCTTGACTCCTTACTCATCAGTCTGTCGAAGTGTCACCGGCATGTTACCATCCGTCGGAGGCTCTGCCACACTGCCGGGGCACGTGACGATACGGCTCATGCTCTGAGGTAGCCGTGTTGTCGTCCCGAAATCCCGACGATAGGCTTGTGGTCCTGTCTCTACGCTGCAGGAATCCGTACGCCGAGGCATACTACGAGTCGTGCATATTAGGCGCCCATACCCCAGCTGTGCGACTCGAGATGCCACGATCCGCTAAGCCATGGCAGCCACGGAGGTAGACCGGATGAGGGCTGAGGGCCGTCCGAGTCAGAGAGCCAGAATTAGAGACCTCTGCAGAGGGAAACGGCACAATCTCGCCCGACCGGGCGGCCGAGCTGATGAGGCCGGCGATGATGAAGCGCATCTCATCTCTCACCCCGCGTGCAAATTTCTCGTCCGGCTCACGTTCCCTTAGTGTTCTGAGGGGTACATCATGCCTTGTAAGGGAGGGCAGCCACCTCCGCATTCTGTGATCCTTCAGCGTCACATCCTGCAAGGGCCTGCGGTCCGATGATGATCTCCGTCCACGAAGGGTAAAGTAAGTCTACGGCGAGGCTTAGTCATGTGTTTGGTCTATGAGTATGTCGCCCTTTGGAAGGCGTCCTGGGATGGAGGCTTAGCTGAGACGAGATGAGATGGTAAAGCTGGCAAGTCTTCTGTCTTTCACACACTCGATGCAATACACAAAAGCGAGGCGAAAGCGGTGATTAAAAGCTAGAGGCCGAGGAATTTCGGTACAGATGCGGGGAGGATGGAAGGGTTTGGACACGGGCACAGCACCGCCACAGCCACGCAGACCAAGAATTGTCGACACAGCCGTGCTTCGTCGCCCTCTCGCCTTCTTCAGCGGTCGTCGTCAGGTATAGGGTTCAATCCCCCCTCCCTGAATAGGACTACATGCACATCATCAGAGTGTAAATCTTATAACCATTTCTACATTCGTACACCAGAAACCGCTCACCCACCCTCAAACACACTGACACACCCACACCCCACGGCTTGTGAGGGATCTGGCTTACTTACCCCAACGATGGGCGATGCGACACAGATCCTTTTGGCCCCCGGACCTTGTGAACCCCAGACGCCTCTTTTTCTGTCGTTGGGAACCGGGGGAGGAGAAAGGGGGAGGGGGGGCTAACCGATTACACGCCCCGGATCATACGTATACCCCCCCCCCTTGTCCTGCCTTGCTTGCTTTCCCCGCCCTGGGCCATTCCCCCAAATTTCATCACATTTGCTCGAAGCATTGCGCGTTACTTATCTCGGCCTCGCGTTTGGCGACTGTTTGGTTGGATGTGGTGGGTTGCTGCGTGGTATGGTTGGGCGGCGGCAGCAAGAACGTGGCCTGGTTTGAGTTCAGCTGACAGGGCATCTAGGAGGTGGGCGCTGAATTGTCGAGCCGAAATGTGAGACAAAGGGCGAAAGAACGAAGAAATAGTTCTTCCGGGAAAGTAGTGAGACACTACTACTGTACTGGATATGGAGAGAGGTGATGGGGGGGCGCAAGGCTAAGAAAGCAACGGCATCATCCAGGGGGCCGGCTGTCCTGCTTGGTTTAGGGTTCTCATCACAACACGCAGGGGGAAGGGATCGGCACCGGGACAAGAGAGCAGGCCAGCCAGCCCGTGAACCCACCCCCGGTCATTGTTACTCTGTCCCCTCCCCCCCCCGGCCCCTCCAGCAGAGTACCGAATGAGCTTCCCGCGGGGTGACATGGGCTTCGTGAAAATCTGAAAAAGAAGAGGGCGGTCAGTCGACCGGCCGGTAGGTCGGCGCATCTAACAAAGGGCCATGTCGGTGGTATTCACACGCTACTCAGATGGTAGCTACTGTGGAGAGAAGGTGGAGGGGGTCTCGAAAAGCGATCGAGGGGGTGTGGCCTCTTGTCCCTGCAAAAACCGATGATTGCCAGTACATCCCGGTGCGCCTTGTGAAGGGGGCGGCGCGATGATGGCTTTCCTCGTCTTGATTTTCTCCCCTTCTCTTTGCAAGCCCTCCCGAGGAATTCTTTCCGCGTGGATGGAGGGGGAGATTTGGTTCTCACGAGCTAACCTGGCGCCCCAGTCCGTCAGGGGCTTACCTACATATCCCGCTTCCTCCTCTGTCTTTTATTTTACCCCCTTCGCCTTGGTTTCTCAAGCCACCGCCTGCGGCCACAAAACGCCTCCTCCGGATTCCGCACATGACCCTCCTTCTCCGTCGGCGAGGCTCCGACTCCAAACAAGGTAGAGAAGGAGGGGTAGAAACGGGAAAGAGAAAGAAAGAGGGTGAGCAAGGGGCGTGCAAAATCTAGGTGGTAGGGGAGGGGTGCCATGAGCGTTCAGAAGAGGGAAAAGGTGATCGAAAGGGGCCGGGAGGGGGGAGGGGGTTGGTTGAGACTGTGGACCCTTTCTTTATCGTAGGTGCCGCAATTTCTGGCTCGGCTGCCCGGGTCTACAGGCGAAGCACCTGGCAACGGCTTCCAATGCCGTCAAATATGCAGGTATTATGGACGGGGATGTACTGTTTCGTAATAATCTTGATCATCTCCTGAGCCACCAGGCCGCCCATGACGGCGGAAACGTTGTGCAGCTCTCCGCCGGCGGCTCGGGACACCTCTTGAGCCGCCTGAGCGTAGCGCTCGCTCTCTGTGGCCCTGGGCACGAGTGCCGTGACGTTCTTGAGAATGGTTTCGGGTGACAGCGCCGCCCCAGCAGCGGCAGTGTCGAGAGCGTGTGACGTGGCGCGCAGTGCGAGGTAGATGGGGAGCAGGGACGTGGGCATGACGCCCATGGCCGCCATGTCATCGTTGGCGAGTTCTTCATCTGTACAAAAATTTTGTGCACCAAGTCAGCCTGTGCTCTTGAAGCGTCGCCACCACGACCGCCGCCCGCCTGCTGCTCTCGCGCGCAGACACGCATATACACACAGACACGCACACACAAGATGAGCAGCCCCTCACCCCCAGGGACATTATTGCATCATCGTAGAAGACCCTGGAAAGAGATTCCCCCTGTTGTCATGCTCCGACGCGTGTCATCCCGCACTTACCGGCTACTTTGAGTAATCTCTCGGTCCCCCCGTCTTTCGCGTCGATCAGTTTGACAAAGGCTGCGTTCTTGCAGAACAAATCTACCTCTGCCGGGTCGACGTGTTCGCCCCCTGGGGCGCGGCGGACCGAGTCGAGCACCTCGGCGGCGTCCTTGCGTGCCTTGGCTTTGTAGATTCCCTGGAGCCGTATGTAGACGCTGGACTGCGCCTTCATGTCTGGGAGGCCGCCAGGGACGGGCAGACACTTGTGCTTCTCGTAGAAGGCCTTGACGGCGCCGGCGATGATCCAGAAGCTAGACTGTGTCTCTTCCTGCACGACGCAATATTAGCCAGCCACTCGCTTCCTCAGACGAGCCACACCCCCCCCTCCCTTTTTTTTTCTTTCGCCACAGAACGTTCAGACGGGGGCATGAGGAAGTGAGAGGGGACCACCAAAGACAGTGGTCCAAGAGGGAAGGGGTCGGACGCTTACAAGGTCAGCAGACTGGTATTCGAAGACGTGTCGCAGGGAGTCTGGAAGCGAAGGTGGCGATATCGTCTTGAGGACGGCCGCAGCGGCCTCGTCAAAGTTCTCCTCGCCACCTTCAGGGGTGTCTGTCCTTGCCGCCTCGGCTACGACCCTCCTGAAGGCGACCTTGTCCTGGTAGGTCGACGGGTACTCGCCCTGGTGGGACTGCTTCCAGACCTCGAGGTAGTGGAGCAGGATGCCACGAAAGGTAGGTGACCGTGTTCATGGTTGTCCAGACCGTCGATATCTTTGGTCATGTCCCTGTGCAAAGGTGGAGAGCTCCGCCCATGGTGTGAGCAGCCGCAGGTCGGTGGTGGCGGTCTCGTCTGGATGAGTGTCCACGATGGGGAACGCGGCGGGCAGGTGGACGCGAAAATAAGCGTAAAAGCCGACCGAATGAGCGGCAATCAATGGCGTCTTGTGGTCTGTCGCGTACGACTCGAGAATCTGGAGATCTTCAGGCTTGATGGGCAGAGCATAGAGTATGATGGTGTACGGCTCAGGGCTCTCGAGCACCTTGGCGAGGTCGTACGGCTCCTTTGAGTATCATGGTCAGCCTTGTTTGCGCGTTATTTCCGGTCGGTTCTTGTCTCAATCTCACGCTGTTCTTCGGGAACCAGTCGGCCTTGACTTCTGGGTTGAGTTCGACGAGCAAGTCGGCGCAAGCCTGGGCTCTCGGTTTGCCAAGACTGCTGGCATCGAGGAAAAAGTTGACGCCGAGGTCTGCCTCTTGAACGTTGGCGCCGTCGGCTATGGTGAATTTGCCGATGCCTGGGCGAGGTCAGTTCCAGGGCGCAGGCAAAGAGGGGTTGACCGATACGAACCTGGCAGCACTAGGTTCTTCAACGTCTCGACGCCCATGGTGCCTGAGGATGAGTTGACGAGCAGAATATGGGAGGATTCCAAGGCAGCCTGGCCACTGGCGGCCCATAGCCTCAGCTGGCGGTCATATTTGCGTTCCTTCTCGGAGGGTCCTGACAGCAAAGGCGGGGTTTGTGTCTGAATGGTAGCGACCTCCGTCATCTCGAGATCACGTATAGGCAGGGCAAAACATCAATCTGAGATGGAGAAATGTTTGTATAAGAGTCCTTTATTGCGGCCTGCTTTTTTTGCTCTTCGGCAATCATGGGTTGTGATGGTTGGCGTGTATGTCGTTGAGAGGGAGTGACGTTCGTAGTTCACTGGTCCAAGCTGAAGCTCATGATGATGGTGATGAGGTAATCTTGAGACCTACTAAGCAGGCGGGCTGTCCCGCAACCACGAGGCAGGTGCTTGTGGCCGTCTGTGGCACGTGCACGTGACTGACAGGATCCTGGATGATCCATTCTCATCCTGATTGACGTATCTACCTCCATTACATGAGCGCGGATCTTGGTTGTTGGTCAAAACGTTTTGTTGTTATATTCTTAGACTTTCCGTAATCTTTTATAGCTCAGGTATTCGTCCCTGTAACATGGCTCGGCAGGTGAAGGCAAAATCAACAAGCTCGAAGCAGATTTCGAGTGGTCTAACCAACGTGAGACGTCGAAATCCTCATCGATTACCGACTGGTGGACGAATCGTCGAGCGCTTTCCTTGAGGTACTCCTGATTGAAGCTGCCAATCTCACAATGAGACTGCTTTCTCTGAAAAGAGGAGGGAAAAATTCGAATTTTGCTGAAAGAAGATCGGTTTCGCGAGACATCATCCCTTGACATGCTGTCGCAAACGAAGAGGAAAATTGGTAGAGACGGTTGCTACCTGCTTCAGCTTACCAAATAGCTGAGTTTGATCATGTCATTCATTCATCATATTCAAGAACCTTGACGCTATTCTTCAGGCGAGAAATGTTCTGGACGCACTTCCGGCCAGTTGTACCCATTCAGACAACCAGCCAGCTCCCTCGGTAGCACAGCCCTGAGGAAAATGTCCTCGACGACAATTCTTTACAGCTTCATTGTTCAGTCTCCTCTTCCTGGAGGCTGAGAAGCGGCCAAGTATTCTCATCACTATGTCACCATGCATAGCAACTGTAGCATCGTGACTTGGTAAAGGGTTGGCTGCCAAGTTAGTCGACAAGGATGAGAAGATTGTAAAAAAAACTGTTTACGCCCACTGCCGATCAATGATCCCAACGGTGGTGCCTGCTTCGTCCAGAAGGACGTTTTCCCAATGTAGGTACATCTGTGTGTTGACGGAAAATGGCCTTCAAGCGGAACAATTTCTACTATACGCGCGCTCCCATGAGGTGCCGCTCGGCAGGCCGTACAAGCGGGATTGACGTTCGACGATGGGGCCGGTCTGGTACGAGTTTGTCCCTCGAAGCCCGAGATTAAGTCAATGTCATTTCGCGAAAGGTATTCGAAATATCGCGTCTGGAAGCCCATCATCAGCACGGATCTGTAGGACACGGATCTGTAGGACACGGATCTGTAGGACACGGATCTGCAGGACGTGCGCATCTGTTGTATTGTCTCGCTGGCGAAAGGGAACGGGAAGGGCTGGCCTGTAATGCACTCCATGATGGTCTACACATTGTTAAAGGTGCAATCACACGCGCAGAAATAGTTCGCTCAGTGTCGTTCGTGCCATTTCGGTACAGTGGGAGATCTAGGAGCGTCAAGATGGGCGATCAACGCGGACAGCCATATAGACCATATTTTGGGCCGGCGGTGCTGGAGGCCAGCATCAGGACCTGCCCTGGCAATTGCCTTCATATCCCATCGGGTCTATATAACGGTTAGGAGCGGAAGGAGCGCCATCGTTAGGGATTCTTCGTTCATGTGTCTAGCGTGCTGCTCTGCAATCGTCGTTACCTACTGCCTACCATGTCAGCCTTTGGTGTAAACGAGCTTACAGAGACTAGATTATGACTCAGTAAGGGAATTGGAAGTCATAAGTGTCAAGTTGAAGCTGTACTAGCTGTCCGAGTACCTTTGCTTGTATGGTTGTCGTCATGAACGGCGAGATGGTGCAAGGCTGGAATTGCGGGGGCCTGGCGCCGTTATCGGGCGACGCAGGGCGCGCAAGTTGTCAACCCCGCGGCGGGTTCCAGGGGTCGGTTCAGGCCTTCAGGGGCCTGCGACGGCGGGGTTCCGTCGGTCCACGGCTCACGGGGGCTTATCGGGTGCCCCCTCTCGACAGCCGAGACGGCCTTTGGGCCCTTCCACCCTCGACAACCTCCCATCTCGCAAGACCAACGGGAATACCTGCCTGCCTGCCTGCCTGCCTGCCTTGCCTTGAGGTACATAGTACCTTACCCTGGGCGCTTTATCAGCTGCTTGAAGAAAAGCCCGTGTCTATTTTTCATCTCTCTCACTTACACATGCCAGCCTTCAACCACACACTCAGGACCCTCGGCTCACTCCTCCTTCCTCGCCATCCCCTGCCACTCTCCTTCAAGCACAGCAGAACCATTGCCAGAACAATGGCATCCGCCGCGGCCGCCAAGCGCCTCGAGGGCAAGACGGTGCTCATCACGGGCGCCTCGAGCGGCATCGGCCGCAGCACAGCCTTTGAGTTTGCGCGCACAGCGCCCCGCAACCTCAAGCTCATCCTGACGGCGCGCCGCGTCGACACGCTGCGGGCCATCGCCGACGACATTGTGCGGGAGGTCGGCGACGGCGTGCAGGTGCTGCCCTTGGCGCTCGACGTCAGCAAGCCCGACGCCGTGCGCGGCTTCGTCGCCGGGCTGCCCGAGGGGTTCCGCGCCATCGACGTGCTCGTCAACAATGCCGGGCTCGTCAAGGGCGTGGCGAGGGCGCCGGAGATTGCCGAGGCCGACATGGCCACCATGTTCGACACGAACGTCACGGGGCTCATCAACGTGACGCAGGCCGTTCTGCCCATCTTCCAGCAGAGGGCCGACGGCGGGGCGGGCGATATCATCAACGTGGGCTCCATTGCGGGTGGGTGATGCTAGCCGTGAACTCTCTGGAGTGATTCCCTTGTCGCTGACCGCGTCCAGGCCGTGAGCCGTACGCCGGCGGTTCCATCTACTGCGCCACCAAGGCTGCCGTGCGCAGCTTCACAGACTCGTTGCGCAAGGAGCTCATTGCGACGCGGATCCGTGTCATGGAGATTGATCCCGGCCAGGTCGAGACGGTACGTCGGGGGCTCCCCGCTGTCGTTCCTGCTATCACGTCCATCACGCAGAGACCTGACAGCAGCAGGAATTCTCGGTTGTCCGCTTTTACGGCGACAAGGCCAAGGCCGATGCCGTCTATGCGTGAGTTGCACCCGACGTCCACTGAACAGACGTCCACTATGCAGACGTCCACTATGCAGACGTCCACTATGCAGACGTCCACTATGCAGACGTCCACTACACAGCGCGGCCGTCATGACATGAAAGATGTGGCTGACAGCAGTCATAGTGGTTGCGAGCCCCTGACCCCTGACGACATTGCCGAGGTCATTGTCTTTAGCGCGACGAGGCGGGAGAATGTGGTCATTGCCGACACGCTCGTCTTCCCCAACCACCAGGTAAGACAGACAGAGACTGAAGTGATGAAGAAGAGGGACTAATTGTTGGTCAGGCTGGCGCTGGTGTTCTGCACCGCAAGTCATAGATGGATGTGCATGTACATGTTGGATCGTGGTGGGTGTGAAGTGATACGGCTGTATACCGTGAGATGATTCAAAAATACAATGAGAAAGAAGAATATATCGATTCCAAAAATGATATACATTACGGGGTATACCACATTGAACCTCTTCAGTTGGCATTCATCATTTCAATGCCTCTTGCAAGGCAAATACCGAGGTACCACAGAGCAAGTACCAAGTACACCGTGACAAAGCCAGATAGCACTCCACGCACGGTGTCTTATCGGTGTCTTATCGTAGCCCTGAATCTCGTCTCCTCTCTTTTGTCTCTTTCCTCTTCTTTCTCTCCTCTCTCGCCTCTCTGCCTCTGCCTCTGCCTGTGCCACGGCGGCAACTCCTCTCGTGACCACTTTACACACCTCAACAGCACGCCATCCTCTTCTCACGCCCTCTTCTCACGCCCTCGTCTCACACCCTCGTCTCACGCCCTTTGCCAAAAAAAAAAAAGGAAAAGATATGCCACTCGGGCATGCGACAACCATGAGCAGGCACCATGCCGTTCACAGTACTCCTCGGCACGTCCGCTGATCGACGCCTCTCCCATCGCTCTTCCAAGTCTTCTCTGACGTCCCCCCCGACCGAACCTCCCGAACCCCGTCTCGAATACATCCACGACGAGGCCCAGCTGCAGGACCCGCCCGAAGAATGCCCCGATCTCCGCGAGCTCAACAACAGCCTCGAGGCCCTGGCGGCCCTGTTTCCGAACGTTCAACCCGAGGTCTTCCGCGAGATGCTGGCCAACTTTGACAGCGAATCCAGGCTCGCCGTCGTCGCCGATGCGCTGCTGAAGAACCACGTCAACTGGGTCAAGGGCCGATGGAGGATCGCCCAAGACAATGCGTCTAGTGATGCCTCGGCAGCCCTTCCGACCGTTCCGCCCAAGGACGCCTTCCGCAGTGACGAGTACAAAAAGGCCGTCCAAGCTCTGGCCTGGACCGAGTTCAAGGGCCTGACGCGCGCCGCCGTCAACGCCGTGCTCGCCGAGTTCAACTACTCCTATCTCGACGCACGCAGGACCCTGCTCGACCTGTCGGCCAAGTCCTGGCGCTTCACCATCTCGTCCCTCTTCTCCCGCCGCAAGCCCGCCACCGCCGGCGATGCCGAAAACCACCCCCTCGTCATCTGGCGGTCCACCGGCCACGGGTCCATCACGCCGACGCTGCGCGCCACCGGAAATGCCGAGCTCGACCGCGAGCTGTACGACGAGCTCATCCGCCCGCTGAAAGACCGCGCCCGCGCGACCCAGCTCGACAGCGACCGCGGCCTGGCCCGCGCGCTGAACAGCGAGGAGGCCGAGGCCGTCGACGCCCTGCACGAGTGCTGCTGCTGCTTCACCGAGTCGACCTTTGAGGAGTTCACCCAGTGCAACGCCGACGGCCACATGATCTGCTTCCGCTGCGTCCGGCTGGCCCTGACCGAGGCCGTCTTCGGCCAGGGCTGGCACAGCAGCATCGACACCCACGCCGGCACCCTCCGGTGCCTGGCCGTCGACGGCGCCTGGCTGGGGCGGACCACATCCCTACCCACCAACTTCTCTGTGCCCATTCTCAAGGAAGAGGATAGAGTCTATATACTGATTTATTTGTATGGGCACCTCGGCGAACCGGATGTTGCTATTGAGGGAGTGATGTGTCATATCTATAACTATTTTTATATATATAGATAGCGATGATTTTTTCTGGTCGTCAGGGGGAGGATGGTGGTTTATGGTCATATATGGTGAAGGGTACAATAGCGACCGACGAAGGTAGTTATAGAGCGAAGGGAACTCTCTGATCAGATGGAGTGGTGTGGTACGTTGGAGATGATAGGTAGTCAGCAGGAGATCGACCGGGAGGATGAAGTGAAGAGCTATATGGAGGATGGCCTGAGGAGACGAAGCCGAGGTGCGAGACGAGATGATGCTGCAGATGCAGTCGGAGATGGTCGGGCGGGG